CCGGACACGAAAAAAGACCAAAAAAAAAAAAAAACAGAGCTCTGGGGCCGGCCCGGTGGCGCACTGCTACAGTGCGCCGCTTGGGAGCGTGGCAGCGCTCCCGCCGAGGGGTCGGATCCCACATACAGACCGGCGGCTCACTGGCTGAGTGAGGTGCAGGCGCAACACCGAGGGGTGTGATCCCGTTGCCGGTCCCGGTCCGGTACGGGCGCGACACTGAGGGTTGCGATCCGTTGCCGGACACGAAAAAAGACCAAAAAAAAAAAAAAACAGAGCTCTGGGGCCGGCCCGGTGGCGCACTGCTACAGTGCGCCGCTTGGGAGCGTGGCAGCGCTCCCGCCGAGGGGTCGGATCCCACATACAGACCGGCGGCTCACTGGCTGAGTGAGGTGCAGGCGCAACACCGAGGGGTGTGATCCCGTTGCCGGTCCCGGTCCGGTACGGGCGCGACACTGAGGGTTGCGATCCGTTGCCGGACACGAAAAAAGACCAAAAAAAAAAAAAAAAAAACAGAGCTCTTAACCTCATTTGGCAAATGGAAATTCTGGGATCCCAACCCAGAGGGAGCTGCACTCAGGCTCTTCCATGAAAGGACCCATCCCTGGCCTTTACACCCATCCTCGATCCTGCTGATTCTTCCTCCTAAATTCTCTCATCCGTGGCCTCTCCCCTTCCCCACCATTTCTGCCACCGCCTGAGAAAGTAATTATGTCTTGCCTTATCAATACAACAGAACAGAGCTCCCCTCAACAGCCCCCCTACCAATTCTCTATCCTGTCACCAAATTTATATTTACTTCCAAACTATAAGCCTGACCATGACATTCCAAGGTTTAAAAACCTGAGTGCTCCCCACTGTCCAAACACTTCCATCTGAGCAGGACTCCCAACCTGCTTGCATGCTAGAATCCCCTGGGTTCTTCAAAAGGCTCAGATGCCCAGGACTCCCCTGAGACCCACCGAAGCGGGTCTGTGGAGGGGAAGTGAGCATGTGGAGACATGAAAGCTCCTTGCTGACCCTGATGCGCAATGACAGCTGAGAACCACAGCACCAGCATGGCAAAGAAAGTCCCTGCCCGTCACCCCAGCTCGGCTCCCCACCGAGCTCTCCTCACCTCACCAAGAAACCACTTTTCCTCCATCAAATACACCACATTCCACGCTTGCTCATCTTTGCCACCAAGTCTCTTTTCCCCGAGGTGCCCTGCCTCCACCTCGGCCTCTGGTTTCTTCCCTGGCAAACTCAGACTTAGACAACACGTCCGTGTGAAGCTTTCTGAGGCCCCAGCAGGACTGGTCACCCCGCTGTGCTATCCACTGTCAGGGTTCGTTCCCACGGCTGTCTCCCCCACGTGCTGCGAGCCACCCCAGGGCACTGGTGTGTTTTGTTGGCCACGGCCTTGCTCGTGTCTTGCTCGGAAGAGGCACTGCTTTGAAAACTGTACCAAATGCCATGAGCCTGCCATCCTTGCTTCCACCCAAGTGTCTGCCTTGCAGCATGTCCCTTCTGTGAGAGCTTTTGTCTGCTTTGGTCTGTCCTAAAGGGTAGACATTGACCCCTGTAAGCTTCAAAACCTTGATGGCTCATAACCTGGCTCTAAAAAAAGTGTTCAACCCTCTCTGAAAAGCATGTCTATCCAGAAACCCATTCCATGCCCATGTTCAGATACCTGGTGGGAGCCACCAGCACTGGTCATGTTAAAATGAGGTTGGGCATGGAGGTTTAGGGCTGGAACGTCTCCCTCAGTCAGACAAAGACCCTTTGAAAATAAGCTCCCCCAGACTTCCTTCTCTGCCCCCAGCAGAACCTCTGGAAGGGTCAGCTGAGGTTTTCTCCACCTCCTCCCTTTGGGCAGCATGGGTCCTACAGGCAAGGCAGTGCAAAAACCAAGTCCAAGCCCCTGAAAGTCCTCTTCTTGGCTGGTGGTGGAGAAACGCCCACGTCAGTGAGCACAGGGGTGTGCGCTTTGTAATCTGCTGCCATCACAGACTCCTTCAAAACAGAAAGACCAACTGCAGCTCCCCATGCCAGAGCTACTCAAAGAGTGGTCACCAACCCAGCAGCACCCCCCATCCCAGACCTATGTCATCAGAACCTCCAGGGTTAGCTCAGCCATCTGTCCTAACAAGCATGGTTCACGGAACATCAAAAGCGGACACCCTCTGCCCTCCTGGCTCTGAGCCAGTCCCCGGGGTTCGACCCACTTTGCAGAGGAGCCTCTTCTTTCTTAAAAACCTGGACCCACTGGGATGAGCCCAAAGCTTCTGAATCACAAAGGTGAATACCCTTCAGGGTCACAGAACACAGCAGAAGGGAATTCAAGGAGAGGACTTGGAACTGTGAAGTTATACAGAGGGACCTTTAAGACAGACAACGAAATTAATTCAGGCTCAGGCTCTGACAAAGCTGGATCAAGACTAAAAGAAATCTGGAAGGTCTCTGCAAATATCTCCTCCTCAGAGAGGCCTCATAGTCCCCCCACCCCTTGATAGAACACAGTCTCCCATCTCCACCACGATTCACTACCTCCATCTCTTAATCCTACTTTATTTTTCTTCCATGGCACTTATTACTTCTTGAAATTATACATTTATTTGTTGTTTATTGTCAGTGTCCACCACCAGAATATAAGCACAAAAGCAGGAATATTCTGTTTTGTTCACTTGTGTAGCACCACTCCTTGGAATAGATCCTGGTACATAATAGGGCTTAATCAATATTTGTTGAATGCATGAGTAAATGAATGAATAAATGACAGCACACAGCTCCACGAGTGCAAGGACCATGTCTGGCTTGCGCTCCTCTGTGAGCTCACCTCTGTTGCTCACCTATTTCCCCAGTGCCCAGCACACTGCCTGATACAAAGCGGGCAGACCCTTAATGAATTCCTGTTGAATCAATGAACAATGTGAAAGCACATTTGTTAATGATCAGCTCCAACACTAAAACTGTACTTCATCCAGACCACCCATTATCAGATCTAGCAGTTACCGGATCAATGTTACTGGATCTAGCAGACACCAGATCAATGTGTCTGCCTGGGAAGGGGGGCTGGGGGTGGAGGGCAAGAGAGGGGGATACTGAAAACTTCAAAGGTTGACAAAAACAGTTTTAGGCATATAGCTTGGCATTCACCTGGAGGTTAAAACCTGGAGAACCTTTGCCATAAACTACACCCCAGTCCTGGAGGGGGGCTGCGGCTTTTAGGGCATTTGTCTTCCTTCCTTCTCCTGCATTCCAAATATCACTATCTGTCATCAT